TCAAGATGCAAGAATTTACTTAGACATTCTGTGGAGATTTTATACCAAGTACTTATTGGATCACGAGCCCGTGGGTTCATCTAACAAACGGACATAGTTCTGCCCTTTGTCAGTTGAACTGCCCCTACACACAAATCTCACAGCTTTTATACTCTTGGTTACACATTTCCTCAACCCCATCTGGCCATCATCAATGAGCACTCCCATTCTTTGATGTTATTACTCTTTACCCCAAGTCATATATCCTGTCCATCCATCATGATATCCTAAACATCAGTAATCTCCTTTGACATAAGGAATGCAGACTCAGTGGAACCAAGTCAATTATCCCCTAACTCTTCCCTGTACCACACAATACTATGACATCATTACAAGAATAAGAGTGAAGACATCAAAACTATGAAATAACACATATGGAATCATGTAGTAACAAAAAAAGTGTTAAACAAATCAAAATATATTTTATATTTGAGATTCTTCAAATAGCCACCCTTTGCCTTGATGACAGCTTTGCACACTCTTGGCGGTCATAGAGCCAGGACTACATGGAACTCTATTCCACATCAGGTAACTGTTATGATGAGTTTCTAGGATATCAAGTGATTACGAATGTAAGGATGTACTTAGACACTTTTGATGAGGAGTTCATATAAGATATTTAATATGGTATCCTTGGCTAGTTATAACAGACATAGCCCTGTCTCTTCCAACTTCCTAACTCCAGAACAAAGATCCACTCTCTCTATATATACACTCTGTTACAAGTCTCTCCACGAACATCTGGTAAACCTCCATGGGCACTCCCTTCTCTTTGATGTTATTACTCTTTACCCCCAAGTCATATATCCTGTCCATCAATCATTTCTAAGATCAACATCAGTAATCTCCTCTGACATAACGGAATGTAGACTCTGTGGCAGCAAACCACTTATCTACTAACTCTCCCCTGGTCCACACAATACTATGACATGACATCATTACAGTAACTGATGCAGTAGAATCAGATTTATTTTTAAACAGGTAAAAATACACCTTATGGAAAAACAAGGACTGTGAAGAGACACACACAAGGGTATAGATGCATGCATACGCACACATTGTGATATTGTTGTATGGTGGTATTAAACATTTTGTATTGTAGCTAGGTAGTGGTGTAATAATGTAATTTTATATTTGGTTTTATATGTAATGTAAGTGCTTTAATATGTTTGGATCCCAGGAAGAGTAGGCAGCAGCTAATGGGGATCCCTAACAAATACAAATGCATCCAACGAGCATCAGAGCCAGCGTAGTAGGATTCAATCGTAGTCCTGTATTGACGTTTTGACTGTTTGATGGCTTGTCTGAGGTCGTAGTGAGATTTCTTATAAACGTTCAGATTAGTGTCCCGCTCTTGAAAACGGCACCGCTAGCCTTTAGCTCAATGCGGATGTTGCCTGTAATCCATGGCTTCATGTTGGGGTATGTACGGTCACTCTGGGGACGACTTTGTCGATTAATTTATTCAGCTAGTTTATGCTGGCAACAACAGCAGCATGGCGCTAGTTAAAACTTGTAAAAGAAAGTGATGTAAATTTCGATGGGCGAGGGAGAAATAACTTGTAGTGTTGGTCACCATCTGGAGGTCACCGTGACATGCCAATTAGCTAATGTAACGACAAGCCGGTGTGAATGGCCAGTACAACGGTGTTGTATCAAGTTGCTTCCCACTGTTGGTTCCCACTGGGCAGCAGTTGCTTCACCGGACAGCTGTATCACATGTCGCTGGCGGTAGCTAACGTGGCCAATTTGTTCCATCCCACTGATTTATATTTAGAGTAGGATAGCTGCCTACATGAGAAATAATTTGTAATATTGGTAACCTTCTGAATGTCACCGTGATACAGTCTACTGCTCAATGGGGAGACTTTGTGCTGCAAGCTGGCAACACAACAACACAGGACACAGTGTGTCCTTCGCTCCCGCTTGCTGGCTGCTGTCTTGCAGTAACTAGATAGTGTAGCCAATATCAGGTCAGGGTGACAGCTAAAGCACATTTATTGTAGTGATTTTCAACGAAAATGTACAATTACTCTGGTAAAACCGGAATGATTCTGAACACTCTCCCAAGTCCCAATTTCAGGCAGACAAGTTTCAAATTCTCATTGAAGTTTCTAGCCACAAGTATAAACTAGCTAGGGAAGGCTCATTAGGATGACTGACTGAACTGAATCCGTTCGTCCCCAGTCGACAATACATACGTCATCAATTTTGAGCACCAGGCGTGTCCGTATAGCCTCTCCTGACACAGACATGACATTGCTGGGTTCCTATCGAGTAGGCGGTTTTAAATATATAACTTTCATAACTGTATGATAAAGAATGTGACATACACACTTAAGTAATTTACAAAATAAGTATTTTTGTGTGGAAGTCAAACTATTTTTTACGTCGGAGATAGACACAAAGCACATCAGTACAACCAAGAAAAAGCGCCCTTTTCACAGCACATCTCCCTTTGTCAATAGCTGTTTAAATGGCCAACATTTTGATTTAGACTGGGAACACTACTACTACTACTACTACATTGAAAATATTGCCTTCTTGCTAGATTGATGAATACAACCATAGCAAACCAGTGCAAAACGTCTGTAAACTCGAGAGGATTAACAGAAGTCCCCCGGGAAGAAGATACTGTACCTTCAGTAGGCGCAAAAGGTAGTTAGTGTCTATTAATAGTTAGTGTCTATGAATAGTTAGTAGTCTAGGAATAGTTAGTAGTCTATGAATAGTTAGTGTCTAGGAATAGTTAGTAGTCTAGGAATAGTTAGTGTCTAGGAATAGTTAGTAGTCTATGAATAGTTAGTAGTCTATGAATAGTTAGTGTCTATGAATAGTTAGTGTCTATGAATAGTTAGTGTCTATGAATAGCTAGTGTCTATGAATAGCTAGTTCTCTATGAATAGTTAGTGTCTATGAATAGTTAGTAGTCTATGAATAGTTAGTAGTCTAGGAATAGTTAGTGTCTAGGAATAGTTAGTGTCTAGGAATAGTTAGTGTCTATGAATAGTTAGTAGTCTATGAATAGTTAGTAGTCTATGAATAGTTAGTGTCTATGAATAGTTAGTGTCTATGAATAGTTAGTAGTCTATGAATAGTTAGTAGTCTATGAATAGTTAGTGTCTATGAATAGTTAGTGTCTATGAATAGTTAGTGTCTATGAATAGTTAGTAGTCTATGAATAGTTAGTGTCTATGAATAGCTAGTGTCTATGAATAGTTAGTAGTCTATGAATAGTTAGTGTCTATGAATAGTTAGTAGTCTATGAATAGTTAGTGTCTATGAATAGTTAGTGTCTATGAATAGTTAGGTGTCTATGAATAGTTAGTGTCTATGAATAGTTAGTGTCTATGAATAGTTAGTGTCTATGAATAGCTAGGTGTCTATGAATAGTTAGTGTCTATGAATAGTTAGGTGTCTATGAATAGTTAGTGTCTATGAATAGTTAGGTGTCTATGAATAGTTAGTGTCTATGAATAGTTAGTAGTCTATGAATAGTTAGTGTCTATGAATAGTTAGTGTCTATGAATAGTTAGTGTCTATGAATAGTTAGTGTCTATGAATAGTGTCTATGAATAGTTAGTGTCTATGAATGAGGTAATTGGAAGCGCCCTCACTTACAGTGATTGTCTTTTGTAAATTAATTTGTTTTCCTATTGATATTAATTGTTTTGTCTTTCTTTCATCAGAAGTAGATTTGTCACTGTTAAAAAATTATAATAACTCAGTCAGTAACCATTAGTCCAGTGCAATTTAGTGTTGAACTGATATAAGAAGCCTTTTGTGTGATCTTATCCATGTATTGTACAGTTACCCATTCACTACAAGCAAACTTAAACCTAGTCATGAACGTGGTGGTGCCTTCCACAATGCAGTTTTACAACAACAAAAAACAGATAAAATGCAGTGCTTCTGATGAAAAAAAGAGAACTATTAATATCAAAGCTGCAATATGTCATTTTTGTGGGATGACCTGACCAAATTCACATAGAAATGTGAGTTCTAGATCTGTCATTCTCATTGAAAGCAAGTCTAAGAAGCGATACATCTATTCTATGTGCACTATTTCTATGCTTCCCATTCTTAAGTTTGAAAAATACAAAATTAACAGTAAATATGAATAGGAATACAAATTAATTTACAAAGACAGTCACTAATGGAGGGCTCTTCCAATAAACAACTTGGACCTCAAAGCCTCTCCAAACACATGAAAACAAAACTTACATTATTACAGTGGCATATTGATATTTACATACACATTAAATATTGTCAAACGTCAATAAACTCACTGATGGCCAAACTCAACACATACCTTCATAACAATGGACCACAGCCCAAACATTTCTTCTCAAACAGCATGACACACACACACACACACACACACACACACACACATACACACACAGGAACTTCCAGTACCAAGCTCTCACCTGAGAAGGACTATGGGGTGTTTTTATACGTTTCCCAAGTTGATCACTAATTAGGGTCCCACATGAAACACTGACCAATCCTTTGGTTCCTACCTTGTCACATACATGTCATTAAGTTTTGTCTTATCCTTCCTCCAGACCTCCAGCAGCTCACGCTCTCTGTCTCTGAAGAGGAGGTTCCCCCGGAGCAGCAGCACTGTGAGCAGGAGTGGAGCCCCACTCTGGGGCAGGAGGACCCAGAACCCATACAGCTTAAAGATGAACAGGAGGAACTCAGGACCAGTCAGGAGGAAGAGCAGATTCAAGGGATTGAGACTGTTGCTAAAGACTCCATGTTCACTGCTGCCTGTGTGAAAAGTGACTGTGTGGAGGACCCAACTCAGCCCTCAGATCTCTATCAAGCCCAAAAGGAAAGAAACGAAGAGAGAGACAATCTACCCAATACTACAACTGAACAGATCAAAACAGAACCTGATAGAGAGGACTTTAGAGAATCAGATCCAACCAGTGTCTCTCAACCCCTCTCTGCAGTAAATCCAGACTGTTCTGCAGCTCAAAGTGGTATGGAGAATCGAAGGCCTCCGGCAGGTTTTAAGCCAGTCATATCCAAGAGAACAGAGATGGTAAAAGGACAAAGATCCCGTATCAACACTAAGGGTAAGAAATCTACTCAGTTGTCCCTCCTGAAATCATCCAGTCAAAGTCATGCTACTCCTTGTTGTTGTAAGGTGTGTGGCAAGTCTTTTCATTACATGGGCTCATTGATTAAACACGTTCAAACTCATACAAAGGATAAAGAAACACTCTGTGGAGTGTGTGGAAAGCATATGGAGTCCACAGAAGGTATGAAAGAGCACCTCCAAACTCACATTGCAGCTAGATTGTGTTGTCATGTTTGTGGTAAATGGTTCAGCAAGAACAGTAAGCTGACAGTGCACATGAGGAGCCACACAGGTGAGAAACCTTTTTCCTGCCGTGTTTGTGGTACATGCTTCATGCAGACTGGAGATCTGAAAAGACACATGAGGACCCACACTGGGGAGAAACCATATCTCTGTCCTGATTGTGGCAAAGGATTCAGCGTTGCCAGTAATCTGTCAGTGCACATGAAGATTCACACAGGAGAGAAGGGGGAACCGGATTCAACACTGGCACCAATCTGAAAGTGCACATGAGGACTCACAAGGGAGAGACCATACTGGTGTCCTCATAGTACAAAATGCATTTCCCAATCAGGTACATTGAATAACAATCAATCAAAGACACACCAAGGAATCACTGTATAGGTGCAATGATTGCAGCAGTTCTCAAAATGATAGAACTCCTACAAAGTTACATGAACAACCGTCAAGGGAGAAAACATGACAATGTGCTGTTTGGGAAAAGGTCTGGAGACAGAAGATTGAGAGTCATGTTCTAACTTCCACCTGTGAGAGGAGATGCCCCTCAGGACACAACTCTTGGGTGAATAAGATATGACTGAATTACTGCTTGAACATAAGAACTCTCCATCTCTACAGTGAGGGGGAAAAAAGTATTTGATCCCCTGCTGATTTTGTATGTTTGCCCACTGACAAAGACATGATCAGTCTATAATTTTAATGGTAGGTTTATTTGAACAGTGAGAGACAGAATAACAACAAAAAAGTCCAGAAAAACGCATTAGTTGGCCACCAGGTTTGCACACATCTCAGGAGGGATTTTGTCCCACTTCTCTTTGCAGATCTTCTCCAAGTCATTAACGTTTCGAGGCTGACGTTTGGCAACTCGAACCTTCAGCTCCCTCCACAGATTTTCTATGGGATTAAGGTCTGGAGACTGGCTAGGCCACTCCAGGACCTTAATGTGCTTCTTCTTGAGCATCTCCTTTGTTGCCTTGGCCGTGTGTTTTGGGTCATTGTCATGCTGGAATACCCATCCACGACCCATTTTCAATGCCATGGCTGAGGGAAGGAGGTTCTCACCCAAGATTTGACAGTACATGGCCCTGTCCATCGTCCCTTTGATGCGGTGAAGTTGTCCTGTCCCCTTAGCAGAAAAACACCCCCAAAGCATAATGTTTCCACCTCCATGTTTGACGGTGGGGATGGTGTTCTTAGGGTCATAGGCAGCATTCCTCCTCCTCCAAACACGGCGAGTTGAGTTGATGCCAAAGAGCTCGATTTTGGTCTCATCTGACCACAACACTTTCACCCAGTTCTCCTCTGAATCATTCAGATGTTCATTGGCAAACTTCAGACGGGCATGTATATGTGCTTTCTTGAGCAGGTGGACTTTGCGGGCGCTGCAGGATTTCAGTCCTTCACGGCTTAGTGTGTTACCAATTGTTTTCTTGGTGACTATGGTCCCAGCTGCCTTGAGATCATTGACAAGATCCTCCCGTGTAGTTCTGGGCTGATTCCTCACCATTCTCATGATCATTGCAACTCCACGAGGTGAGATCTTGCATGGAGCCCCAGGCCGAGGGAGATTTCACAGTTCTTTTGTGTTTCTTCCATTTGCGAATAATCGCAGCAACTGTTGTCACCTTCTCACCAAGCTGCTTGCCGATGGTCTTGTAGCCCATTCCAGCCTTGTGTAGGTCTACAATCTTGTCCCTGACATCCTTGGAGAGCTCTTTGGTCTTGGCCATGGTGGAGAGTTTGGAATCTGATTGATTGATTGCTTCTGTGGACAGATGTCTTTTATACAGGTAACAAGATGAGATTAGGAGCACTCCCTTTAAGAGTGTGCTCCTAATCTCAGTTCGTTACCTGTATAAAAGACACCTGGGAGCCAGAAATCTTTCTGATTGAGAGGGGGTCAAATACTTATTTCCCTCATTAAAATGCAAATCAATTTATAACATTTTTGACATGCGTTTTTCTGGATTTTTTGTTGTTGTTATTCTCTCTCTCACTGTTCAAATAAACCTACCATTAAAATTATAGACTGATCATTTCTTTGTCAGTGGGCAAACGTACAAAATCAGCAGGGGATCAAATACTTTTTTCCCTCACTGTATCTAACAGAGCAGTTAGTGGATTTTTGAGCAACGGTAGTCTCTGCTCATTAATTATAGGATGACACAACAGACATTTGAACCTGTCCTCCATCTGTACATAAAACATGTTTTTAGAGTTAAAATGTATTGTTAAAAGTTAATCTGCTACTTTCTTGTTTGATGTTGTTAAAATAGTTTTCACAATAAGTGAATTTACCACTACTACTACCATTTTTGTTATTACCTCTAAGCCTGATGTCAATATCCACTCTGAGGGGAAGATACGTTTTTTATGTTTTGACAATTATTAAGAACATTTGTTGTGATATGCTCATGTAGACCCATTCATATACAGTTGTAGTCAGAAGTTTACATACACCTTAGCCAAATACATTTAAACTCAGTTTTTCACATTTCCTGACTTTTAATCCTAGTAAAAATTCCCTGTTTTAGGTCAGTTAGGATCACCACTTTATTTTAAGAATGTGAAATGTGAGAATAATAGTAGAGAGAATGATTTATTTCAGCTTTTATTTCTTTCATCACATTCCCAGTGGGTCAAAAGTTTACATACACTCAATTAGTATTTGGTAGCATTGCCTTTAAATTGTTTAACTTGAGTCAAACGTTTTTGGGTAGCCTTCCACAAGCTTCCCACAATAAGTTGGGTGAATTTTGGTCCATTCCTCCTGACAGAGCTGGTGTAACTGAGTCAGGTTTGTAGGCCTCCTTGCTCGCACATGCTTTTTCAGTTCTGCCCACACATTTCCTATAGGATTGAGGTCAGGGCTTTGTGATGGCCACTCCAATACCTTGACTTTGTTGTCCTCAAGCCATTTTGCCACAACTTTGGAAGTATGCTTGGGGTCATTGTCCATTTGGAAGACCCATTTGCGACCAAGCTTTAACTTCCTGACTGATGTCTTGAGATGTTGCTTCAATATATCCACATAACTTTCCTTCCTCATGATGCCATCTATTTTGTGAAGTGCACCAGTCCCTCCTGCAGCAAAGCACCCCCACAGCATGATGCTGCGAACCCGTGCTTCACGGTTGGGATGGTGTTCTTCGGCTTGCAAGCTTTCGCCTTTTTCCTCCAAACATAACGATGGTCATTATGGCCAAACAGTTCTATTTTTGTTTCATCAGACCAGAGGACATTTCTCCAAAAAGTACCATATTTTTCCCCATGTGCATTTGCAAACCGTAGTCAGGCTTTTTTATGGCGGTTTTGGAGCAGTGGCTTCTTCCTTGCTGAGCGGCCTTTCAGGTTATGTCGATATAGGACTCGTTTTACTGTGGATATAGATACTTTTGTACCTGTTTCCTCCAGCATCTTCACAAGGTCCTTTGCTGTTGTTCTGGGATTTATTTGCACTTTACGCACCGAAGTACGTTCATCTCTAGGAGACAGAACGCGTCTCCTTCCTGAGCGGTATGACAGCGGCGTGGTCCCATGGTGTTTATACTTGCGTACTATTGTTTGTACAGATGAACGTGGTACCTTCAGGCGTTTGGAAATTGCTCCCAAGGACGAACCAGACTTGTGGAGGTCTACAATGTTTTTTCTGAGGTCTTGGCTGATTTCTTTTGATTTTCCCATGATGTCAAGCAAAGTGGCACTGAGTTTGAAGGTAGGCCTTGAAATACATCCACAGGTACACCTCCAATTGACTCAAATGATGTCAATTAGCCTATCAGAAGCTTCTAAAGCCATTACATCATTTTCTGGAATTTTCCAAGCTGTTTAAAGGCACAGTCAACTTAGTGTATGTAAACTTCTGACCCACTGGAATTGTGATACAGTGAATTATAAGTGAAATAATCTGTCTGTAAACAATTGTTGGAAAAATTACATGTGTCATGAACAAAGTAGATGTCCTAACCGACTTGCCAAAACTGTAGTTTGTTAGCAAGAAATGTGTGGAGTGGTTGAAAAACTTGTTTTAATGACTCCAACCTAAGTGTATGTAAACTTCTGACTTCAACTGTACATGAACCTTGAGATGTGGCGGTTTTTCCATCTAGCGATTGTACATTTTATCTGCCGTTTCTATAACCGAATAAATGTTGATAACATGTTTATTGTGAGGCGTCTTTACCTGCACATTTGTCTTTCCTCCGACTGTGTTCATTGCACGATTATGAAACATTGGAAAAATTGAAATGTTTGACAGTTATCTAGTCACCAATCCATTTGTTTTATGATCGATAAAGGCCTATCAAGTTGCATTTAACTAAGATTCATGTAGTTCATATGATTGACTGTAATTGTTTTTAATTGCCCTAAATATACTATTATTGTTTACTGTATATGTTTCTTAAGGAATCAAAGTGGATGCGATAAGTGCCGATAAAGCAAAATGGGTTTACTCGTGCACGACTGAGAGTGCATATTATTTACTTGCTGATGCAACCGGATGCTTTTGTCGCTGATTCCATACGTGATAAAAACAATGTGCACAGCTTGCTATCTAGCTACTCAAATCATCAAAAAATGTCTAAAATACAGTTGAGGGATTTTCTGAACAAGAGATTAACAACTGCTGCTGAAGAGATATTCGGGGTCGTTGAAAAAACAATAGCAGCGTATCAGGAGGACGTTGTCCGTCTACAGAGGCTGCTCGACAATCTTCTTCAACCTGAGATAAAGCACAGAGCAGGTTTGTTACAATACTCAGCTACCATTAAGTTTGATATAAGAAGCCTTTTGTGTAATCTTATCCATGTAGTGTACGGTTACACAGTCACTACAAGCACACCTATACCTAGTCACGAATGTGGTAATGCCCTCCACAATGCACGAATGCATCGATACATTCATGACCACCATGGCTGCGTTCTGGAACGTTCAACTGAATGGAAACGGCGGTTGGGGAACGCTGTCCGCATGGCCACTACCCTTTAAATACGTCACTCATTGCTTCAAGCCACTCCTCGCCACACCCACCAAATGGGAGCAAACGTACCTGTCTGTTTTAAGAAAGTTTTGGGGAAACGTGTCGTTAAGTACAAACTGTTCCGCAGCGTAGCAAACGTTCAAGCGAACTGAACCTACCTCAGGTTTAGGTTTGCTTGTAGTGAATTAGAAACCGTACAATACATAGATAATATAACACAAAAGGCTTCTTATATCATAGCTATTTTCTAAAATGCAACAGTAATTCCACAGGACTAATGGTTCCTGACTGAGTTTTACAAAAAAAAAACAATGACAAACAAAACTGTACTTCTGATGAAAGGGAAGAAAATGAATAGTATTAGGAATGTGCAATTCCATGGTAACTGGTATTACACTGAGACTCAGATTTCACTTTAAAATGTATACCAAACCCCAAATATTGATTTCTAAGTTTAACAAACCATAGAACTCAATGCACAATGAGTACTTTTAAGAATTTCACTTAATATTTTACAAAAACACATTTACAGGAAGAACTGTGCAGATACAACGTTTGGTAACAAAATAAACTGAGGCAGATTTGACCATAGTTCTGTTACCAAACTTCACACCTGTGTAAATTGTTCAAGGTAGTCATTGTGCAGAGAGTTGTACGGTTTGTACAAGTTTTTGTTTTACACATTAACATGAAAAAATCTCACTTTAAAAAGAGTCTCAGTATAATTCCATTACCATGGAATTGCCCGAATACAAATTAATTTACAAAAGACAATCACTGAAAGGGAGGGCTCTGCCAATAAACCACTTGGAGCTCAAAGCCAGCAAAGCCTCTCCAATGTTACCAACTGAAAACAAAACATACAGTGCATTTGGAAAGTATTCAGACCCCTTGACTTTTTCCACATTTTGTTACGTTACAACCATATTCTAAAATATATATAATTATTTTCCCCCCTCATCAATCTACACACAATACCCCTTAATGACAAAGCGAAAACAGGGTTTTAGACATTTTTTTGCAAACATACCTTATTTACATAAGTATTCAGACCCTTTGCTATGAGACCCTAAATTGAGCTCAGGTACATCCTGTTTCCATTGATCATCCTTGAGATGTCTCTACAACTTGATTGGAGTTCACCTGTGGTAAATTCAATTGATTGGACATGATTTGGAAAGGCACACACCTGTCTATATAAGGTCCCACAGTTGACAGTGCATGTCAGAGCAAAAACCAAGCCATGAGGTTGAAGGAATTGTCCGTAGAGCTCCGAGACAGGATTGTGTCGAGGCACAGATCTGGGGAAGAGTACCAAAAAACTTCTGCAACATTGAAGGTCCCCAAGAACACAGTTTGGAACCACCAAGACTCTTCCTAGAGCTGGACGCCCGGCCAAACAGAGCAATCGGGGGAGAAGGGACTTGGTCAAGGAGGTGACCAAGAACCCGATGGTCACTATGACAGAGCTCCAGAGTTCCTCTGTGGAGATGGGATAACCTTCCAGAAGGACAACCATCTCTGCAGCACTCCCCCAATCAGGCCTTTATGGTAGAGTGGCCAGACGGAAGCCACACCTCAGTAAAAGGCACATTTGGAGTTTGCCAAAAGGCACCTAAAGGACTCTCAGACCATGAGAAACAAGATTCTCTAGTCTGATAAAAAACAAGATTAAACTCTTTGGCCTGAATGCCAAGCGCCACGTCTGAAGGAAACCTGGCACCATCCCTACGGTGAAGCATGGTGGTGGGAGCCTCATGCTGTGGGGATGTTTTTCAGCGGCAGGGACTGGGAGACTAGTCAGCATCGAGGGAAAGATGAACGGAGCAAAGTACAGAGAGGTCCTTGATGAAAACCTGCTCCAGAGCGCTCAGGACCTAAACTGGGGCGAAGGTTAACTTTATAATAGGACAACGACCCTAAGCACACAGCCAAGACAACGCAGGAAAAAGTATGAAAAAATAAAATGAAATGAAAAAATACAAATTGTATGCACTCACTAACTGTAAGTCGCTCTGGATAAGAGTGTCTGCTAAATGACTAAAATGTAAATGTAAAAATGCAGGAGTGGCTTCGGGACAATTCTCTGAATGTCCATGAGTGGCCCAGCCAGAGCCCGGACTTGAACCCGATCGAACATTACATTTACATCTCTGGAGAGACCTGAAAATAGCTGTGCAGCGCACCCCATCCAACCTGACAGAGCTTGAAAGGATCTGCAGAGAAGAATAGGAGAAACTCCCCAAATACAGCTGTGCCAAGCTTGTAGCGTCATACCGAAGAAGACTCAAGGCTGTAATCGCTGCCAAAGGTGCTTCAACAAAGTACTGAGTAAAGGGTCTGAATACTTATATCAATGTGATATTTCGTTTGTTTTAACAATTTTGATCATTTTAAAAGGCTAATTGATCATTAGAAAACCCTTTTGCAATTATGTTAGCACAGCTGAAAACTGTTGTGCTGATTTAAAAAATCAATAACTGGCCTTTTTTAGACTAGTTGAGTATCTGGAGCATCAGCAATTGTGGGTTCGAATACAGGCTCAAAATGGCCAGAAACAAATAACTTTCTTCTTAAACTCGTCAGTCTATTCTTGTTCTGAGAAATGAAGGCTATTCCATGCGAGAAATTGCCAAGAAACTGAAGATCTCGTACAAACGCTGTGTACTACTCCCTTCACAGAACAGCGCAAACTGGCTCTAACCAGAATAGAAGGAGGAGCTTTTAAGTACCTTTTAACCCAGTTGACTTTTGATATCTGATTAAAGAGAGTGACGTCTAAGACATTTAGACCGCCATCACAAACCCTGTTGGTGATAACATCTATTTTTATCTTATGTGGCTTGTTTTTCCATATGAAGTTGTACTATAGCCTATCTAAAGTACATCAAGTGGATTTGGGAATGTCAATAGATGAAAAAAGATAGGATGCACGAGATAGCCCCTCAGCTTTGGATAAAAGCACCCTCCCTTGAAGACTTAAATCCCTCCCTAACCATGAGGATAATTTATTTTTGATAGATTCAGTTACAGGATTCAAACTAAGATAATTCACAGCATTAAGATTTTTGGTGAGCTTTACACCGAGGTAGGTTACAGTTTCTTTTTCAGAGATGTTACAACCTGCTGGATTGACAGCTCCTTTCAGAACAAACATCTCACATTTAGAAAGATTTAATACCAAACCTGAGAGTTTGGAGAACTGCTTCACAATATCCAATGCTAATCTAGCTTGTGACAAATGTTTTTTTTTAAAGTGATGTGTCATCCACCAGTTGGAATATCTTGATCTCTCTGGCCTGGAATGTAATGCCTTCAAATTGACTTTGATAAACTAATTAGCATAAGGTTTGAGATACTAACAAAAAAAAATGGTGAGATTGGACAACCTTGTCGTATTCCTTTGTAAATGTTAAACCTTGAGGATGTTCCATGACAGAGTTTGATACAACTATTGCCACCATTATACAGAGTTCTAATAGCATCAACAAAAAAATTACCAAACTTCAAATGCTTAAGACAATCAAAGATTAAACTTGGATTTACGGTATCAAATGCTTTCTGAAAGTCATCCAATAGATCACAATACTCAACCAAATCTAACACCAGCCTCAGATTATTAGATTTATGGCGCCCGCCTCTTCCTCTCTGCTATGGGGTGATTTGATACGTTTCCCGTCTTCATCACTAATTAGTGTCCCACATGAAACATTGACCAACATTTTGGTTCCTACCTTCTTACATGTGTGTCATTCTGTTTTCTGTTTCATCCTTTCTCCTTCCCTCCAGACCTCCAGCAGCTCACTCTCTCTGTGTCTGAAGTGGAGGTCCCCCCTGAGCAGCAGCACTGTGAGCAGGAGTGGAGCCCCAGTTTGGGGCAGGAGGACCCAGAGCCCACACAGATTAAAGAGGAACAGGAGGAACTCAGGACCAGACAGGAGGAATAGCAGTTTAAAGGATTGAGATTGAGACTCCATTTTGAATCCAGTCTTTTGGTCTGAAATTCTCCATGTTATACAGGAAATCACAGGTATTATTATTAAACCAGACCAATGTCATCTCCTTCTAGGTATTGTTCCTGTGAATACACTCCAATCCTCGGCACTTAAATTGATAGATTATCTTTTAGCAGCAGCAAGGAAATGTGTAACAAAATGCTGGAAAAATAAACATGCACCCTCATAAGATATGTGGTTAGGTCTATGCGGGGAACTTGCTGACATGGAGAGAATTACATAAATCTTGCAACATAGACAGCATAGGTATGTTCCTGACATATCGTACTGGTCTTATTCTATCATTTCTGGGGTTTTTGTTTGTTTCTGTTGTTTTTCTGTGGCTTTATCCAAATTGTATTCTTATTCAGACTCTTGAAATATTTGCTCTATACAGCCAAAATGTACCCTTAACAATGAATGTAATTACGCTCCTTTGTAAAGACAGCAAATATGTTGTGTATGTATGGTACATGTTCTTTATGTGCTCTTGAATAAAAATGACTAAAAACATGTTTACTTAAAGACTCAATTTTGACTTCTGCCTGTGTGAAAAGTGACCGTGATGAGGACCCAACTCAGCTCTCACATCTCTATCAAGCCCAAAAGGAAGGAAACAGAGAGAGAGATACTCTACCCAATACTACAACTGAACAGATCAAAACAGAACCTGATGGAGAGGACTATAGAGAATCAGAACCAACCACTGTGTCTCTCAGCCTGTCTCTGCTGTAAATCCAGACTGTTCTGCAGTTCAAAGTGGTAAGGAGAATGGTTTTAAGACAGTCAAATCAAAGAGAAAAGAGATGGTAAAAGGACAAAGGTCCCGTATCAATGTTAAGGGTAAGAAATCCACACAGTTGTCCCTCCTGAAATCAACCAGTCAAAGTCATGCTACTCCTTGTTGTTGTAAGGTGTGTGGCAAATATTTTAATTACATGGGCTCATTGATTAAACACGTTCAAACTCATACAAAGGATAAAGAAAAAAACTTCATGGAGTGTGTGGAAAGCAAATGGAGTCCACAGAAAGTATGAAAGATCACCTCTAAACACATTGCAGATAGGTTTTGTTGTCATATTCGTAGTAAATGGTTCAGCAAGAACAGTAGTCTAAAAATACACATGAGGAGGAGCCACACAGGAGAGAACCTGTATCACTGCCGTGTTTGGGCAAAGGATTAATCACCAGCTGCAATCTGAAAATCCACATTAGAATTCACACAGGTGAGAAGTCATTTCATTGCCCTGATTGTGGCAAAACATTCAATCAGAGTGGAAATCTATAATATCACAGAAGGATCCACACAGGGGAGAAATAGTATAATTGTAGTTGCAAAGGATTCTGCAAAAAGAACATACAAATCCAAACAGTGGAAAAATTATATTACTGCCCTGATTGTGGCACAGGCTTCAAACTGATTGGACATCTAAAGCTACACCCACATGGTGGAGAATATATACCATTGCTCTCTGTGACATACTGCACAGTATGGTTGAAGTACTCACAAGGTAGAGACCATTTAGATGGAATGATTGCTGTAGACTATATTTCAAAGCGACATAATTCCTTCAAAGTTACATGAAGAACATACATTTATGTTAGAGGGGGAGAACATGACAGTGTGATGTTTGGGGAAAGGTCTGGAGACAGAAGACTGAGAGTCACTAACTGATGCACCTCAGGACACAACTCTTGGGTGAATAAGAAATTACTGGATTACTGCTTGAACATAAGAACTCCCCAGCTCTGTCTAACAGAGCAGTTAGTGGATTTCTGGGCAACAGTAGTCCCTGCTCATTAGTTATAGGATGACACAACATACGTTTGAACCTATGTCCTCTATCTGTACATAAAACATTGTTTTGAGAGTCAAATGTCTCCTCAATATGTTGAAATCTGCTACATTATATCTGTTTTGATGTTGTTAAAGTAGTTTTCACAATGTCGGTTACTTTGTGCTTATGTGGCCGCCGGTGTCCACAGGAGTTGAGAGAATCCTAAACACATTGTTTTTGTCATATTTTCTAAGCTTTAGGTTTAAAATAAAGTGTTAAGAGAAATTGTAAAAATAGGCGGGGTTGATGACTTTGTGGTGTGGAAGCTAGTAAAGAACTTTTGTCGCTGAATCCGCACGTGGTGAAAACCGAACAGCTAAATGGCTAATCAACATGCATTATCTAAAAATGCCTAAAATATAGTTGTTGAGGGTTTTTCTCAAGAAAAGTTTAACAGCTGCTGCTGAGGAGTGTAGTATCTGAACAATTTATAGCTTTGGCTGAGGTTTTCATATGGTTGGTTAAATGAACTCTACTTTCTGAAACATCTGGAAAGTGTTACTATAGGGGCCCCCTGAAATAGAGGACACTTGGATATGTGAGAGGCTAGGGATTGGTCTATCTAAAACCACCCATCTTATGTTACATAGGATATATACCAGGTTTTGAACAAAGGACGGGGAGAATAATCATATTTGAGATTGGGTTAGTTGTTCTCCAGACTCTGCAAAAGTCTGTAAATTGACGCTGAAATCTTTTGATATAATAAACCTTTATAATCAAAGTACAGTGTCAGCGGATTTCTTATCAACACAGCATATCAGCATCGTTGTCTCGACACCACAGGAATTGGCGACAAGGATTTTGGGACGTGTTGCGTCTGTTTCAGCGTTCCATCGTGGGCTGCGAGCTGACTCCCGCTACAGAGGCCGGCAGATAAGGTGAGCTTTCTCACAACTTTGGGCGCTGGTCAGTTCGTGTGCCTGTGTGTGCGTTGGGGGATGCACCGTTAAGAACTTGTGTGTGCGCTTTGCTGTCATTTGCTGTGGGATGAGAATCCGTTCTAAATTTCTAAAGTTGTTTGCGTTGAAAACAACGCAAACAGGGGGGAGTGAGAATATAATACAGGATAAAAGTGTCTATAGGAATTGATAACACTGGGCCCAGGGAAATTGGCTTGAATAAAATTAAAGGGAAAAGGAATAGAATGAAGGAATAGGACAAGGAACTAAGGAAAAATGTATACTGTTAGGACGTCGCTGATCTACGGAAGCCCTCAAACGAGGCGATCTTTAAGATGGGCCACAAATCCTGGAGAGTCACTAGGTGAATTTTCAGGTCAGTTCAAGGAACTGTGAGATTGTAGAATATACATTCAATTGTATGTTACCTCTCGGTATATAGTTGACGAGGTATACAGTGGGGGGAAAAAGTATTTAGTCAGCCACCAATTGTGCAAGTTCTCCCACTTAAAAAGATGAGAGAGGCCTGTAATTTTCATCATAGGTACACGTCAACTATGACAGACAAAATGAGAATTTTTTTTTTTTTTTTAATGAATTTATTTGCAAATTATGATGGAAAATAAGTATTTGGTCAATAACAAAAGTTTCTCAATACTTTGTTATATACCCTTTGTTGGCAATGACACAGGTCAAACGTTTTCTGTAAGTCTTCACAAGGTTTTCACACACTGTTGCTGGTATTTTGGCCCATTCCTCCATGCAGATCTCCTCTAGAGCAGTGATGTTTTGGGGCTGTCGCTGGGCAACACAGACTTTCAATTCCCTCCAAAGATTTTCTATGGGGTTGAGATCTGGAGACTGGCTAGGCCACTCCAGGACCTTGAAATGCTTCTTACGAAGCCACTCCTTCGTTGCCCGGGCGGTGTGTTTGGGATCATTGTCATGCTGAAAGACCCAGCTATGTTTCATCTTCAATGCCCTTGCTGATGGAAGGAGGTTTTCACTCAAAATCTCACGATACATGGCCCCATTCATTCTTTCCTTTACACGGATCAGTCGTCCTGGTCCCTTTGCAGAAAAACAGCCCCAAAGCATGATGTTTCCACCCCCATGCTTCACAGTAGGTATGGTGTTCTTCGGATGCAACTCAGCATTCTTTGTCCTCCAAACACAACGAGTTGAGTTTTTACCAAAAAGTTCTATTTTGGTTTCATCTGACCATATGACATTCTCCCAATCCTCTTCTGGATCATCCAAATGCACTCTAGCAAACTTCAGACGGGCCTGGACATGTACTGGCTTATGCAGGGGGACACGTCTGGCACTGCAGGATTTAAGTCCCTGGCGGCGTAGTATGTTACTGATGGTAGGCTTTGTTACTTTGGTCCCAGCTCTCTGCAGGTCATTCACTAGGTCCCCCCGTGTGGTTCTGGGATTTTTGCTCACCGTTCTTGTGATCATTTTGACCCCACGGGGTGAGATCTTGCGTTCGAGGGAGATTATCAGTGGTCTTGTATGTCTTCCATTTCCTAATAATTGCTCCCACAGTTGATTTCTTCAAACCAAGCTGCTTACCTATTGCAGATTCAGTCTTCCCAGCCTGGTGCAGGTCTACAATTTTGTTTCTGGTGTCCTTTGACAGCTCTTTGGTCTTGGCCTTAGTGGAGTTTGGAGTGTGACTGTTTGAGGTTGTGGACAGGTGTCTTTTATACTGATAACAAGTTCAAACAGGTGCCATTAATACAGGTAACGAGTGGATGACAGAGGAGCCTCTTAAAGAAGAAGTTACAGGTCTGTGAGAGCCAGAAATCTTGCTTGTTTGTAGGTGACCAAATACTTATTTTCCAGGCCTCTCTCATCTTTTTAAGTGGGAGAACTTGCAGAATTGGTGGCTGACTAAATCCTTTTTTCCCCACTGTATTTCCGAAGTAGCCTCTCATTGAATATCTGCAACTCAAGATAGCACAAATTTAGGAAGGACTATAAAGGAAATAGGAGCGACGGAAGCATGCGGTATGAATGGATGCATTCTTGTTGATTATGTGTGTGTGTGAGAGAAAGAGAGCACGTGTTTGTGTAAATAAGGAGGTCTCTGTTGTGTTTCAGCTGTGTGTTGACTCATGCTATGATAAGATTTATGTTAGAGATATATACATATATATGTTTTGGTTGAGAACAGGGGTTTTAGTTTTTGTAAGGAAATATGTTAATTACGGTTAAAACCTATGAGCCCCTGGGAGGACGTTATGATTGTATAGAGAGGATTTGTAATGGATAAGAAAATAACTATAAATCTGCAGATTAGAATAAGTGAAGATAGTAAAGTTAAGAAACTTCGAAGTAGGATTTGTGTTCTATGTTTTGTGTTGGTTTGTGCGTTTTGTTCAGTGTTACTGTTTGTCTGTGTTGGAAAGAACGGAGGGACAGCTGGTCTGTCTGCTGTCTGACTTAGAGAAAAGTTACTGTGGGAGAGCTCCTCTCACCTTGAAAATCACACTAGTAAATGAGCTGCGCATGTGTGGGATTTTATGAGTTTAGAGTTACACAGAGCAAATAGGCCACTCCCCTGCCTGCACTGAGCTGCTGGGAGACGCAGACTTAGAGCTGAAAAAGAAAGGGGGAGACTTTGAGTACACACAATAAAGTATTCTGTTTGTTAAAGTGGCTGTTGCTTAACTATGAACCTATTTGATTGAGATTGATTGAATTTATAAATGAGAGCTATGTTGACGGATTAAAAATAAAAATAAAAAAATAAAATAAAATGTCATTGCGCTATTTATAATATTCCTGAGTTAAGCTGTTTGCTTATTTCTTAGCGCGAATGTGAACATAGGTATGTCTAAAAGGGTATTGTATGGTTGAAATAACCCAGTGAGTGCATAAAATACTAAATTCTTGTCTGTTTCTTTTGTTCTCCTGTGATGTGAGAAACCAGAAGGAGACAGAGAGAGAGGAGGTGCTGACCAGTGCGTCACGCGACAGCGTGTGCTTCCCCGGATCCAGTCCAATTAAGGCCAGTACTGTTCTATCCACAAACTTACTTTCCCTTACAGGATATAATAGATACATTGTGTATGCATAAAATATTTCATTTTGTGACCATTTGGCAGGGACTTGGCAACAGACTGATCAATTGATGTAATTGAGAATTGCACATTGAAGTTTTTTGTGCATGGGTTGTTTTGATTAGAGTTGTGTTGGAAACCCAGCACTGAGATTATTCTGTAAAAGTAAAGTGATTGGGTGCTTATTAAGCAATTGGTTTGTGGGTGCTGTAGTGTT